ACCCTAGCCCCTCCCCAGTGACCCCCCACTCAGAGCCCCTCTCTGAACCCCCCAGCCCTGCCCTGCCCAGAGCCCTGCCCTCCCAAACATGAACCCGCGAGCCCCTCCCTTCCCATGTGACCCCCCTGCTCAGAGCCCGGCACCCCTCTGTCACCCCCCACCCCAGCCCCTCTCCAGTGACCCCCACTCAGAGCTCCTCTCTGAAGCCCCCAACCCTGCCCTGCCCGGAGCCCTGCCCTCCCAAGCATGAACCCGCAAGCCCCTCCCTTCCCATGTGACCCCCCTGCCCAGAGCCCCATTCCCCTAAGTGTGACCCCCCAGAGCCCCTCCCTCCCCGTGTGATCCCCATGACAGTCTACTATGATAAATGTAGTACAAAATATGCCTTGTGAGGTATCCCTGGGAAACTCATAATATGCTGAACAATATTGTCCTGGTAAAATGTGTATATCCACATTGTATGTAACGGGTACAAGATTCTCCTGTATAACGTTGCTGTAACATACTCCAGAGTTAGAAAGGCTGGTCCAAACTAGACAACTCAGAGACACAGACACACTGGCACCCCAGCCAGGTGTTAATGGACCATCACCTGCTTAAAGAGCCTTTCTCTGGCAGGGGGAAGGTGTGAACAAGACAGTTACATTTCATCACAAGGAGGGTTCAGATCTCACATCCGCAAGAGACTGTTTGTCACCATGACTCAGCAAGGATGTTTCCAGCACAAGAAATTGAACGATAATGCGGGAGGAAAACACTTGACCTCACACTCCTCCTTCGTCGCTGCTCATGACATCAACGACTCTCAAAGAGTTGAAGTTGGAGGGTGGGGGAGTCCTGGCTGGAGGTTTTCAGCCAGTACAGACGATTGTCCGCTTCTGCTGAGAAACCTTTTGCTGTGTACCTGGGAGCAAGATAGGTGCTGGAGGCTGGGTGATAACTGGCCAGGAGTGGCGGTTCCCCAGCAAAGCTGTGTAAAAGGCACCCCAGGTTGGAGAACCGAGGAGATATCGCTGTTCACAGTGCAGACTGTACCCTGGGCAATGTCACCCCCCCATGTCCAGAGCCCTGCTCTCCCAA